TTCTTTTGAACAATCAAAGCACTTTTTCAGTCAGTTTTGAGCAAAGTTCTTGGAAGCCGAGAACGTGCTGCAGCCTCAAAATCAGAGATTGTAAGCACCAAGGGAGGTGTAGCATTATGGATCCGTTCGGGCAGGTAAAACGTTGACTGTACGCCTAGTTCATGAACAGAACTTAACAAGTTTGAATACTTAGTAATCTACTGAATGATTCAAATGAATCTATGTCGCTACATGTACAGTTTTGCTATGTCATGTTTCTTATCGTAAGAAGATACTGATCAATTTAGTGATCAAACACTGATAACGTGCATAATACTATTGTAGACTCTGAATAAAACAGAGCGATTGATTAAATGATTGGAGAGATGAACTGACTTGCATCCAGTTTTTGAGAATTCATAGAATCCGTTCTTGCAATGGTCACAGAACTGTCCATCGACACCAGGTTTGCATGGACATTGACCAGTTTCATCGCATTGTAAAGTCAGTGATCCGATCTCGTTACAATTACAGGCGACACAATAGTGCTCTCCGCGACGTCTCCAGTTGTTCGCCGCACATTCTTCACAGTGTGGACCCTGCAGAAACAATAAAACAATATCAATAGACAAATCCAGATATTAATTGTTTTCTGATGACAAATCGGTTGATTTTATTTCGATTTAACGAATTTTGTGGCCGTCACAATGAAATTGTTGTGACGTATTATATTGCAAAATTGAACTTGTCGCGGCGCTAAGGCAACAGTTTACCTGAGTATTTCCGGCACAGTCCACACAATGTCCACCACTTCCAGTCTTCTCGAATAAATCGTGATCATAATAGCAACGATTCGAAAGGTGACTACAATTGCAGGCTGAAAGCATGCATGCATGTATGTTTTTATGACATTTGACTATATTCTGATGTAATCTCACATGAAAATGGTAATCCAGTCATTCTTTGCTTATGATACTCTTACAAACATAACCATTGCAAGCACAATACAACACATTGATGTGCGTGACTTCTTAATCCGAACGAATCACTCTGGCATGTTAAGAGAATTATCAACTTAACGTTGTAGTTTGTTATATCGGCTATAATCGCTATTGAGTTAAAGAATTTTGATGTGCTTTGCTGTGATAGCAAATATGAAAGCACATCGGCAATTTTTTTTCTGGTATAGATGCAAAGTTTATCTGATGATCTGATGAGATCGTTTTTTTT